ATTGCCTTAAAATTATTAATTAACCATGCGTAGTTGAAAAAAAAACTTTTTTTTTTTAGTTATGTGGAAATGTTAAGTTCACATAACTTATTTTTTTCAATTATGCATGAAGTTATTAATTTTAAGGCAACAGGTTTCCTTACTTTTTTAAGTTGTCTTTCTCAAAAGTCACCTTTTACAGACGTCCTCACAAAACTTCATTCAAGATTCTCTGAAAGCAAATTTGATTGTTATATATTTGCTCCTCAGCTAAAGCTATTGTGCTTCAAGGATATTTAGTCATTTTTACAGTAAACAAGACTGGAAAAAAATATTTTAGGACATATTTTTTGCAGTGTGTGAGGGTTGCCATGATCCAATCAGGGCTGTAAAGTGTCTCTAATCGGCTCTATAGGATGGTTTGAATCAATCCTGGACAACTGTTGGAAGAGTGAGGCAAGCTGTAATTGGTTGGATTACATGACCACGATCCTTCCAAACCTTTCTATGCAACTCTATACAATGAAATGTGTCACCACACAAATGCCTGCCCACTTACAGAAATGACCCACTACATTATTGGAGTTCCTCCATCACCTGATCGGTTCTCTTCCTTTTGCACTGATTGTGAAGGGTTAAAGGTCTCCTCTCATGCTAAATGGTGATTCTCAACCGCTTGTAGAGGCGTGTAGGAGGGATTCAATGATGGTGACAGAGAGAAAAAGGATAAAAAGAGAGAATCTTATGCTGTCAGCCCCTCATCCATCAGGGAGGTATTGACACTGATGCACTGGCTGAAGAGACATGAAAGAGAGAGAGAGAGAGAGAGAGAGAGAGAGAGAGAGAGAGTCCAATCCCAACAAGAGCTGCTTGAGCTCTGTTATCATCCTATCAATCTGCACAGTGTTTGGATCAGCAACCGGGGCAATGCCAACCACACACTCAACACAAAAACACACATTTGAAAAAGTTGAAAAAGAATTTCTTCCACATGAGATCCACCATGCAAACACACGCACACAGACACACAAACAGGAATCTCTCTGGGTTTGAGACAAACATACTGTTGAAACTCTGTAGAGAGTAAAGGTGCAGGATTGATGATTAGAGATGAGACGCAGAGCTGCAGTTTAAATCTTCAAGCGGCTAATCACAGGATTAACAACCAAAGAGAGAGAGAGAGAGGAGAGCGCTGCTTTAAATGCAAATCCCTTTCTTATAAAAATCAGTTCCATTTAATAGGATTTCTGGGGAGGGATGTGCATTTCTGCAGCGGGAGAGGAGTAGAGGAAACTTCACCACGGCCAAAAAGAACGGTTGAACCACAAAAAGAAGAGAAGAATTTTTGTTGCATCACTACACTTAAATAAATTGGTGAGGAAACAAATTTAACTCAGAAATTGCTGATAAATTTCATAGATAATCACAAAGAAACAGACAGTAACGCATTTAATTAAACATGGAATTCTAAATTAGAAAATAAATAAAACGCACTCCAATAATCTTAGGTTTTTTTTACTACTTTGAAAAATCTTCTTTCTAAAATGTTTGACCTTATCTGCCAGGCCGTGAGTTTCATGCGCATCTCAATCTCACATTTAACAACCACAGAAATACCACTTAAAGGGACAGTTCACCCAAAAATGAAAATCCTGTCATCATTTACTCGCTCTCAAGTTGTTCCAAACCTGTATGAGTTTCTTTCTTCTGTTGAACACAAAAGAAGATTTTTTTTAAAGAATGGAATTCAATGTTCTTCAAAATATCTTCTTTTGTGTTCAACAATGCATACAGGGTTGGAACAACTTGAGAGCAAGAATAAATGATGACAACATTTTCATTTTTGGGTGAACTATCCCTTTAACATGCATGTTGAGAAGGGCACATGACAACTATTCTTACAAATACGAGTATTCTTATGAATACTGTGCACAGTAAGCAAGTTTCTTGTATGCATTTAATACATAGTTGACCTTCTACTTGTAAAACTGAAGCTAAATCACATGATTGGACTGCCAAAATTGGATTAAAAAAGGAAATCAACTGTTGCTTGTAGTGTGGCCATGTGATAAGAGTGTACCTACTGCATGAGAAGTTCATTGTATACCACTTCACATGCCGTTTTAAAAAAAACAGAAGACAGTAGACACTGTAGACACGGTATACAATGTACAGTAGTCTTCCATTCCAAACATAGCAAATCCATGAGACTGAGTACATGTGCGTATAACAGAGAGACACACACAGATGAGATGTGTGAGACAGTGAGAGATATGTGCATAAGTGACAGAAGGTGAAATGGATAAGCTCTTTTTTGCTCCAGGGTAACAGAAGACGGAAGACAGATGAGTTCCTGAGCTCTGACCTCACATGAAAGCCATTGTTACCTCTCTCTCTTTTTAGCTGATATTTCCTCACAAAGGGAATTAGAGATCAGTGCAGTGATCCTCACAGATCTGGCATTAGTTTAATCTCACGCAGGGGTTTGAGTTACTACAGAATCAAATCCAATCTCCCCCCTGCTGCTTCTGTTACTGACTTCACCATATTAGTCTTTACAACTGCCAAAGCAACCCCTCCCCAACCTCAGCCAATTATTGAGTACAGTTAGTGAGTTGGACATTCATTTGAGCAAAATTCTGGTGTGAAACCAGGGCCAAAATTACAAATGACTTGCCAAATGAGAATAAAACGACATTAAAAAGAAAAGAAAGAACAATTCAGTTTTCTTTATGACATAAACAACAAACTAATCAAATCACAGATGCCCTATCTGTAAAGGCCTACAATCGGTCACAGCATAAGTTGCTTTAAAACATGCTCGTCTTCAAACTACTTTTAAGAAGTTTTTAACTTTTTTCATCATTTTACAAGAACAGTTCATTGCAACAACAAAAAACACACATCTACGACAGTAAAGAGAATTTTCGAGAGAAGCTCAATGTGAGATATAAACAAATCACCAATAAAGCAAGTGAAGAGATGAAATTATAGTTGCTTTTTAAAGGTAACAGACAAGAAGTTTTTCCTTGGAAGCCAACTGTTTCCAGTGGAAGCTTTTTTCTGCCACTAAATCTAAAAAAAGTGATTGCGCCTTTTTATCTCGCAATTTTGATGCTTTTTCTCAGAATTGAATGATATAAACTCACATTTGTGAGGAAAAAAGTCAGAATTGTGAGATAAAAAGTCGCAATTATATTTCAAATTGCATTATTCTGGAAACAATCTTTCGATCACACAATTCTAAGTAGAGACACCAAGACAAATATTCGAATAACTAAAGAGGTTTCATTTTACCGCGAAAAAGGCCTGACGCAGGCGCTATACGACACAAAAAGGAAAGGGAAAAGTTCTCTTTGTTAGGCCCTATAGCTAATATAGCTAGCCTAGATTTAATTAGGCCTAAGTATTGCAAAATATTGCTTCGTGTACTGTACATTAAAGTTCTTAACTCAAATAGCATACAGAGATCTCTTCTGCAGATCCAGACAGCGTCTCCGTTCCGGATTGAACGCGTTGCTCACTTGAGAGCGCAAGCTTCTGACACTCATCTGCTAATTACCGCGAAAGAAATGCGTCAATAACTCAATAATTAGACAGCGTTGCTGTTGGAGTAGCATCACCTGTGCGTGTCTGTCACACAGGCCGGTTAATTGATTTCGGCAAGCGGGGAGCAGGTGTGTGCACAGCGCCATGTAATTCGGAACTAATCCGAATCGTCCATCCGCCATCGATTTAGCAGCCTGTGGCAAACTGATAGACTTCCAACAGGTATGCGTGCAGTCACCTTTACCACATCTCCTCAAACCCAACTTTCTTTCTTTTTTTTTTCTTTTTTTTTTTCATTGCAGGCTGAAACCTCCATGAACAACCATTCATCATTCTATTGATCAGAATGACTACTTATTGAGGTTACTGGATGGAATGTCCCCTGACAATTACAGGACTCAAATTTCTATCGACCCAAGACGTCCATATATCGCCCATCCTCTTTGTAATTTAACATTTGCGTGTTACTTGAGCTGCTCTTATTGTGCCTCCTGTTTGATCCACCCAATGGCAATTTTCAAAGGACAGAAGAAGACAAAGGAATGGCTTAAGAATGAAATCAATGTTATTAAGTGCATAGTCTATAGTGATTACAGGAGCTAGTAATTATATTGATTATTAAAGAGCACTTTAAACGGGAAGATGTGAATGCAGGGGTGTAGCGACCATTATAAGTGCACTTCTACGTTGTCTTCACTTTATATTCGCTCTTTCTAGGAGATAATTAATATACTTTTCAAGCGACACCCCAAACCAACCCGTTTGGAGAAGTCCCTTTGTATAAAAAAAACGGATTAATTTAAGGAGAAATAAAACAATAACAAAACCAATCTATTCAATTGTTCCTTGCATCAATAAAGCTAAACAAACACGCCAACCACAACAAACATGAGCCTTTAATAACTCCTCAATCTCACAGTGACTCTCCTAATAAAGTAATGAACCAGCCCATGTGTAATAAATTCAGTGTTTAGTAGGCCTATGCATAACCCAGAGCACTGCAAACTAGCCGTCGAATACACTCATGAATGCTTTCTCAGTACTGACATCATGTCTAAATCCCAGATAGCACACATACATCTCCTTTTAATGAGCGCTTCATCTGGAAAATATGTTGTATACTAAAATCTGATAAACATATTTTAAAAAGCAGTTTTACACATTTTAAATAATAAACATCTTCCAAATGTCTGTATAACATCTGACAGGAAACATCTTATAGACGTATTGCAGATGTGCAAACACTCTAAAAAAAATACATCTACGCACATTTTAGACATCTTTGCTAGGCTATGTGTGCTACCAGAGATGGCTAGACAAAACAGTGTATGCATAGTGAATTAAATAAAATTGCTCTTGTTTTCTTGGGCTATATTCATTGGTTAACATCCAATGTTATAACACTTTTAAATAAAACAATTCATCTTTAAGGAGGCAACAGGTAGTTGCGTTTAATAAAATGATTGAGTTACCTTCCTCCGCCACTGATTTGAGCAGGAACTCCAGCAGGATAATCCAGAGCACGGACACATTCCTGGAGAAGAAGAGCTCCATCGTGGAATATCGAGTGTTTTACTGGGAAATGTTTACAAAGATGGGCAAACAGTGTGAAGGTTCAAGAATCGTCAGCTGGGTCTTGTACCCATCAGGAATGAACAATCGCACGGTGGGATTCTTCACAGTACAGAGAAAAGCCACCAAGTCACGAGAGGGGGGGAAAAACTTTTAACTTCAGAATATCATAAGGAGAAAACGAAATCAACTGCAGTGAAGTTTGTTCTAGAAATACAAATTCAGCTGATCAACATTTAAAGCGATAGGTTAAAAAAAATTAGTTTAAAAATCACTTATAACTTTATATGCTAATCAAATGGCAAAATAATGTCCATGTCTTCAAATACCACAAAATCTCCCAAACGACCTCTTTACACGCAAACATGTGCCAGTTTTGTCAAAAACATACGGAGTAACAACATGCCGTTCGCTCGGCTGTGCGGAACCCCTTTGTGAGGGGTGTCGGTCGACTTGTCCTAATTTTCCCCTCTGGATTTGTTAAAATCCGCCTATTAAAACAGATCCGATAGGCCACTTCGTTCACGAGCAGTGAGAAATTAAATGTTCGTATTCGGCTAGGGTTTAAATCACATCGACGTCCTCATCCAACCAACGAATTCTGATCCACCAATCCACCACGACCTTTATAGCCTATCTTTAAAAACATAAAAATCCTGTGAAATAAAAACGATGGTTGAATGCAATCATGTGCCAACTCAACGAGCGAACATCGTGCTGCTTATCCGAAGGCGAATGCATGAAAATCGCGGAGTAGTTCGTCAAAATAATCGCGAAACCCGCGGCGAGCGCGTTCTCAGATGAGAAAAAAAATCTCGGCAAATCCAAGAAGTTGGTACGAGGTGTTCAGTCCTCAGCCGCTCGCAGCAGATGTGAGGTGGTCAATGCGACTGGAGGAACAGTCTCCTCCTCTCAGAGCACCTCCTCCACAAGCACCCCTCCACTATAGGACAATTCACCATCCCGGTCAACAAAAATATATTTGGGACGAAAAATAGCCTATATACGTTTACGATAATATTTTGTCCGTCTTCTCTGGTCAGTTAGTTAGGTCGTTGTATTTAGACAAATCTTTAAATGGACTTTTCTCTTTTGACAAAATGAATAGTGTTTTTAAGAAAAAGTCCAATATTGAAATCGATTGCTATCTTTACTGATCTAATAACAGCTTTTTGGACATGTTGACCATTGTAGCCTATTCTTTGAAGTAGTCTACACAGGGTCCCCCTGCATGGAAAATGTATAAATATCAGGGAAATAAAAAAAAAGTCCATTATCTAAAGCTGGAAAAGTCATGGAAATTATGGAATATATCAATACAAAAATCATTATCTGGGTTCATGATTAGTGGAAACAATATGGAAAAGTCCAGTCTATTCGAAGTAGCTACCTTTGGAGTAAATAGCAATGTACTGCAAATAATCATTCATATCAGACTATCACTATCTGATATCATCACTGTATGAAAACACTATACTGAACTTTTAGTAAAGTAGGGCTTGACATTAACAGCCAAATGCGGTGTGTTTTAACAGTGGCGTGTAACACAGTCACTCCTACAAGCCACTTTGGCGGGTTGAATTATATAAATATATATATATATATATATATATATATATATATATATATATATTCCATTTATGATTTAGTCTTTTAAAAAGGCATCTAAAATAATAAACTAAGTGCAATGTTGTCAAAAATACAGATTTTTCGATACAACTCTTCCAATAATCATTTTAACATAGGCCTGATAACAGCTGCTCTTTCTCTTATCTCTCCGACAGCGAGTTACACACAAACCCGCCTCTCCTCACTCACTCGTTTCATTCAATCTGGATGAATATTGTTGGTGTTACAGGGCTTGAATTTGATTGCACGTTTTTCACATAATTTTACTCATTCCCGCAGATTTTGTGCTCACACCCAAAGTGCGGCACATAAAGCCGCCTCTCAGTTCTAAATTGAGTTATTTTTCTCTGCTTATTGCGCTTACACAGTCAAATACACAAAATAATGTAAAAATACCAGTCTTGGCGAGTATTCGCGTAAACACAGTCAGTTAAGTTTTAAGTGAGCGTGAACAGAATGAAAACGCATGTGTAACAGTATAATGGATCCGTGCATGAGGTCTTAAAGTGACAGCAGCCTAATATACCTGCTGCCAAATTATGAGATAATGTTAAAAATATCTATATGGCAGTTTTTCCCCATGGTATTGATGTCAAAATTGTGGCCAGTGAAATGCTGAGTGGCAGGTCTCTTTAGAAAACTACAAGCCACAGTGGCTGGTGAGCAAAAAAAGTTAATGCTAAACCCTGTAACTCTTATCAGCACTGAGATCAGCTCTTCTGTCGAGCACAGCAACCACTGACTTTAGAGCATAACATCTTCAAATAAACTGTCACAACCTTTTTTCTTTACAAAGTAAGATGAAACCACACATAGGGAGCTTCCCCCCCTCCCTTTAATTGCGATGCTAATGTATCTCTGGAGCCCTCTTCATCACACCTATGTGGATTGGCGTGTTATTTGGCTGAAGGATTGCACATTGACTCGGGTTCTTGTCATGTTAATTCAAGCGCTTGTCTTCTCGCTGTAAATCATTAGCTTCTGCAGGAAGGGCATAAAGGAAAAGTGTGAGACTTAAAAAGCTTGGAGAGAGAAAGTGTGAGGGCCGTTGAGAGAAGAGCTTCTGGAAAAGGAAGCGGAATCATGCCGGGACTTGTTTTATTTTATGTTTGACAAGTTTTAAATGCAGATGAGGACGATACTATCAAGTGTGAGAAATTTGAGGCTACCTAATGTAATAGGTATGAGGTTCTTCTTTTGAGGCAATGAAATTCTTATGTGATCATACAAGACAGAAATCCCCGTTAGAGTACATTAGAAAGATTGTGCAGGGAATTGTTTTATTGGAACATGACAGGGTTGAATACCATGTACTATGGTCTGATATGTATCCCTAGAATGAAGAAGTTTGTATGAAAAATGTTCTTACAGGCGTCTTTGGCTGACATAGTAAAGTGTCTCACTATTGGAAAAAGCTAAGTGTTCTGAGCGTTCTTGTCCTCCTTCAAAAACAATTTATAATTTTGGTGAGTATATGGGTCAAAACCAGTATATATATGAATCCAGGCCCATTCCCAGATACACACATAAGAGATGCATTTACTTTCACAAAACTTAGTCAACATCAAAACAAAATATATACAATAAATCCTAATATTTACTTTTCCAATTCATTGGTGTATGCTATTCCATTGTCTTCATAATCTTTAATGTAACTTATTCTGACTTTCCATTTCGGCTGACCTCATCATGACAGCATGCAGCATATCCAAACTGGTTTTAACCATTCCCATCGATTCACTTTATCTGGTGTGACCACCACATAAAACTAGCGTAGTTACGCAAAAATTACGGGGGAGGACGACTGAAATCATCGTGACTGAGACATTTCCAAAATTTGAGGTTTACAAGAGCTCTGCCCTTAAAGTCAACATGGAATCAAAACGAATCCTGTTTCATTTTTGTATTTTATTTTATTGTGCATGATTCATAAGTACAAAGGCAGATGGGATACAATTCAGCCATTTTGCAAAAACGTAAAATAGTTACATAAGATTGTGTTGGGAATAAGCCTCTGAATTGTCTTCTCATGTCTTGCCTCAAACCATTGCATATGTCACACCAACAAGCAGCTTTGTTTCCCAATGACTTTAATATGAATGCAAACAGAGCACCGATCATAAAGATGAAAGTATCAGTCTGTGGTCTGCTCTCGAGTGAATTCTCAATGGAAGTTTCTCGGTCTCTCTGGAGTGTGTGGTGGACTCCAGTAAGTGTGAAAAGCCCCATAGTGACAAACGTGTGTGAGGAGAAACCCAGTGTGAAGTCTTGGGAGTCTCAAGGAAAGAGGTGCGAGAGGAAAGCGTGAATGGACCAGTTCAACTAGTGTGTGTGTGTGTGTGTGTGAGGCAAGAGACAACACGGAGAGAAACCTGCATTGTTATCGTTTTCAATACAGATTCCAGGACCAGGAGTGACATATTCTACATGAGGACTTGGTTTAATAAATGTATGGTATTTCACACGCATATAATCGCACCCCACAGACTCTCAACTACAGTTTAAGTGAAATGACGAGTTATTCCTGTTAGCACTGCTCACACCCTTTAATTCAGCTTGCGGATACTGTTTCCTCTATAGGATGAGGCTGTTTCATCTCATATGACGGCTCTGCCTTATACTAACAGCGGATGTTAGTCTCATTCACATCTCACATAAAGTCTGGTCCACATTGCAGTTTTTTCTAATCAAGAACGGCCCACGCTGACAGGAAAACAAGTCTTTTTAACCGACAACCAGTTTGTTGATTTTGTGGAATTCTTGTTTAGAGGAAGGGAGATATGAAATCGGATATGATTATGGAATATACAGCCACAGATACGTATATTGTCTATACTTGCTACTAAAATTTCTTCCATATGTTTAATGGCACAAGCTTTTGCAAACTGTACCTTCAACACAACTTGTTTCACTGATAACATTGTGAAACAATAGTCAAGAGTCTAAATTGCCAGCCAATCATATCAGTGCTTGCTACTTTCAGAGCAATTGCCATCAGATCTGATGAAACTGCCCTCACTCTGACTTCAGGAAACTGAGCACAGATTTTGACAGAATGTTTTTGATTGATATGATAAACATCATATCATTAATTTTAGTATATGCAAATGGTTTGATGACATTTTGTTTCTAAATGGCAGAACTGCATTTTTAACCCCTTAGCTGTCACCCCCCTTTTTGAGAATGGGGGTTAAAATGCACTATTCAAACTTAAATGGTTGTAATTCAAGAATGCTTTGGATATAGACCTAAGTTTAGTCTTGTTTTAAAGGAAACACTCAGGAGATTATTGCTGAAAATCTTCAAAAAATGAAAGTGTGAAGAAGTTATGGAAGTTTAAATTTACAGTAAATCAAATATACTGTACTATATATTTTTTATTTTATATAAAATATATATTTTACAAAATATTTTTTACTATAAAATCACTATAAAATCAAAGCCATATATCTAACCAAGTTATGTTCCAAATTTGAAGTTGATATCACAAAAATGGAAGTTCCCATGAGATTTTGTTTAGGCGTAGTACCAGAAATAGCCACCGGGTGACATACATTCCATTGAATTATACATTCTGCCTTAACAAATGAATACATTTCTGTCCAAATATCAATTCTGTCACAAAATTTGGAACCTTGAGACTCAGACCTTTCTGACAATATGTGTTTTGTCAAGATTAGAAAAGGTTTTGATCATAAATTATGAAATGTAACGATGCCCAAAAGGGGAGGAGCCTGATAAAATATTTTAGAGAACCGTTTCTATGGTAACGCAAAGTTCAATTATAAAACGGGTTTCACAGGATAAATTCTGAGTTTGTAAGCTTTCAAATGATACCT